TATATATATATATATATATATATATACCTCTAAAGAAATGTTTATCCATTAAGTATTTTTTTTATTAAAATACAGTGTTTGCTTTTGATAGATTTAATCTCTTTTCACTGTTATAGTGTAAGATTTGTTTATATTGAGATGAGTGACTTACATTATTTTGTCAAAAAACATGTTAAATTGATGCTAATAAATGTTTTGATGGAAATGGAAGTTCAAAAACTACAGAAAAAAATTATAAATGTAATGTAAATTTCAGTGGAACACAACAAAAATAAATCAAATTTAAATATACAGGAAATAACATCACTTTATCCAATTTTTTGATTATTGAAGGAAATAATTAAAAGAAATAAATAAATAATTTAAATAAATCTAAAATAAATAAATCTCCAAATCATTGATTTAATATTGAGAATTGAACATTCTTTTCTTTTTTTTAAGCAAAAGGGCATGAGCTGTATTATATGGAAGCCTGGTTCCACTATGGGATAAAAAAAAGGTTAAAAGGTTGAAGTTAATTCTGAGTTTTTTAAAGTCAGAATTGTTACAATTTCAGAATTGGAAGATATAAACTCAATTGTGAGATATGATTCTGAAAAGAAAAGTCATAAGATATAAACTTGCAGTTGTGAGAGAAAAAGTTCACAATTAATAAAAAGTTGCAATTCTTTTTTTTTTTTTTTCGTGGTGGGGAAAAAAATTATTGTAAAATGTAATTTCTGAGAAAAAACAAAACAAAATCAGAATTGTGAGATATAAACTTGAAATTGTGAGAGTCAAAATTATTTTCATCTTGCAATTCTGACTTTTTTTCAGTATTGCGAGTTTATATATTAATTTGCACTTACTTTTTTTTTTTTTTGAATTCTGTGGAAATGCTTCAGAGTGTTGTTCTTAACTCTTTCTCCGCCAGCATTTTTTTAAAAAGTTGCCAGCCACCACCAGCGTTTTTGCTGATTTTCACAAAAATTTCATGGCCCCCCAGAATATTTTGTTGTATGAATATCTGAACATGCAAAACAACGAAATACAGATCAGACCCTCCACTTTAAAAAAAAAAAATATCCATTTTATTCTAGCTTCAAGCATTGTTTTTTTTTTATCAACACTTGAATGTAGGTAGGTTTCATAAAAAAAGCAACATTTTGAGCAAAAAGCTGAGAAAATCGCATTTTTATCAAATACTACATCTGGATCATATTCAGTAATATTATCAAACCAAAGGTGCAGTAGATTGCTTCTATCAGTACTCCCAAAGCTTGCACAGGCCTTTACCTCTTCCTGGATTGACATTTCACTCTGTAACATTAGGCAGTTTTCATTTATACGTGCTTAGTGTTGATGATCGCATTATTTTTTTATATGCATACATATGAGATCGCTCGTTTCTGCATCTTCCTGGTCTATGTTTTTGATCGGCACATTCAAGACTCTTTCAGGAGATGCGTAATAGCGCCCCCTAGTATATAACAGCGAGAACGCGGAAACCCGGAAAATTCCGTGTTTGGCGGGGAAAGAGTTAATCAAAGTTTATGAGCACCTCTTTGTTTCTTCTGGTTCTCAGATTGAGAAGCTCTCAGAAGATCTCAAAGAAGCCAAAGCGAAGGTCATCACCGTACATGTGCCTGTGGCTCCGCCCCCCAGCCAATCAGCTTCCTCGGTGCCACCTCCACCTCGTCCTGCTGGAGCCTACCTCCCTCCTCCTCCCCCACCACCTCCTCTACCAGGACAGACGGTGCTCCCACTGCCACCTGCTCCACCTCTGCCCGGAGCACCTGGCCTGACTCCGCCCCCTCCACCACCTCCTTTACCTGGAGCACCTGGTCTGCCGCCACCCCCTCCGCCACCCCCTCTTCCTGGAGCACCCGGTATGCCACCGCCCCCACCTCCTCCGCCTTTACCGGGCGCATCTGGAATGCCGCCTCCTCCTCCTCCTTTACCTGGAGCACCTGGTATGCCACCGCCTCCGCCTCCTCCGCCAGGGATGCCCGGTATGCCTCCTCCGCCTCCTCCAATGGGCGGTCCTGGGATGCCTCCGCCCCCTCCGGGCGGGTTTGGTGGATGGGCGCCTCCTGTTCCTCAGCTGCCCTTCGGCCTCCAGCCTAAGAAAGACTACAAACCTGAGGAGCAGCTGAAGAGAGCCAACTAAATATATACATACATGTGTGTGTATTTATATATACATAATAAATATACACAGTATATACGCATATATTATGTAAACAAAAACGTTTATTTTGGATGCGATTAATCGTGATTAATCGTTTGAGCACTAGTATATTCCAATGAAACACATGAATAAATTATATTATTAATAATTATACTTTTTTTTTAAACGTATACCTACCTAAATAAATAAAGTTTAATAAGTTAATGATTTACTCATTTATTTTAATGAAAATTCATTTTTTGATTTCTGCTTAAAACAAGAAAAAATAAAATGGTTTGCCAATGGGTTAAGAAAAATAAAAAATTATATTCTCTGAAAATAAGACTTGCCGTGGTCTCATCAGCACCACACACTTAAATGTATTATATTATAATATTATTAACATTATAAATGGTATTGGCAAAAAAAAAATATTTTAAACATAAATCTAAATAAATATTAAATTCAGCTATTTAATATTTTTATTTATTTAGCAAAGTTTTATTTATTTTTCAATTAAAATTATTAGATTTTATACTTAAAACAAGAGGAAAAAAATGGTTTGGCAATGGGGTAAGAAAAATAAACTTAATTTGAGATATTCTCTGAAAATAAGACATACACTTGCCTCATCAGCATGACTATTAGTCTAATGTCTATAGAGAAATAGTAGCTGTTTAGATAATGACTCTAGAGAAGAAAGGTAAAAAAAAAAAAAACAGCTTTTAATAACAAAAATGCATTACAGAGAATAGTGTTAACTAAAATTAAAACCATAAAAAATATTACTTGAACTGAAACATTAACTAATTGAATTAAAATAGAAAAAAAATTAACTTATTTTATTTTAGCTACTTGTCAAGGCAACAGTTCTCATTTCTCAACTCATTTAGTTTAAGCTAAATGTTTAACTTTAAACTACAACTATATAGACATTTTAAAAAGCATTGTTGTTAATACACAATAAAATCAGTCAAACTTGACCTCAAAATAAAACGTAAAATAGAAAAATAAAGTAAAAACTATAATAATATATCAGTGATACTAAAATAACACTGATCATAGATGCATTGCACAATATTTTATGTGGAAATACGCAGCATTATGAAATACATTACAGGCAAATCATGAATAATTAAGAGTGGTTCATTTATGCGCATTTGGCTGGATTGCTTTCATAACAATTTTAAACCCCAATTGAGACCATTTTTTTTGCATTCTGCTGCCGTTTTTCTATTGTTTTGTATATAAAAATACAAAAAAACGTACATAATAAAAATACAAAATTCATGTAACTTTAAGTGCAACACACAACAAATATATATACTATATATTCTCTAATACATTCTCTAAAAGCAAGACTTACACAGTTATGCTTCTCAAGTAAACTGATCTTGGTTTAGATATGGAAACCAAGACAAAAGTACTGATGAAGAAGAGAGTGTGTGTGTGTGTGTGTGTGTGTGCGTGTGTGTGTGCGTATGTGCTTTCCATCTCTGGCTTTTCCTCGCCCTCCACAAGAGTAAAAACATCAAAACGGTCCTGTCTCCTTTTAGCCTAAAGCTACTCTTTAATGGCTTCAGTGGAATTCATGAGTGTTTAGAGTCTCAGTGGTTAGAGCTCTTTGAGGATGTCAGTGAAATAGCTTTTTAATAAGCCTGTGTCTTTTGACTGTGTCTCTGAAAGATAATTAAATTGCTGGTAGAAAGGACAGCATTCTTTTGTAATTTAAATTAACATTTTTTTCGATTTCCTCTCATCCTCTCAGACTAGTCTTGTTATCTCACGCCACCCCTGACTCTCTCTTGCGCTCTCTCTCTCTCTCTCTCTCTCTCTCTCTCTCTCTCTCTCTCTCTCTCGGGGAATATAGATGCTG